GAAAGTTTGCCGTTTGAGGCTGAGTTGCTGAGAGTAAAAACAAGTGTTTCCCAGCTATCAGGAAGGGAACTAAGAAGTAGCAGAGATTGCATTTCATCTCCAAGCGGCATCTCCACACAAGATAGCTGATTTACCAGGCTCTAGAACTCACTGGTATGCTCGGCAACAGAAGTTCCACTTTTCAACTTCATATTGACTAAGCGCCTCATCAATAAGGCCTTATTCCGAGCGGTCTTGGCTTGGTACATGTCCTCCAGCTTCCTCCAAAGGACATATGCGTCGGTTTCTTGTGCAACATGATGGAAGACACTATGATCAATCCATTGTCGGATTTGACCAATAGTTTTTCTATTGATTTTCTTCCATTCTAACGCCTTGGACGGATCAGGGTTAATACCCTTCAGCTCTATTGGATCAAAGAGCTCTTTACAGCTGAGGAAATCTTCCATCCGAGGTTTCCACAGCGTATAGTTGGTAGCCGTGAGCATAATCATAGCTCCAGAAGATGAATTTGACTCTTCCATGGCCATTTTATACCTTCAACGATCTGTTGGGATAAATTGGAGCTGAATTTTGAAAAACAGACAGCACCGTTGCGTCCGGAACAGTCGAAAATGGGGGGTAGTTTTTTTTTTTTGATGACGTGACAGTCAACCGATGATGTGGCGTTGACTTGCTGATGTGGCAGCTGACTGGAGTGTTGACCTGGCGGATGACTGGGCTGCGGATGTGGCAGCTCACTGGGCTGCTGACTGGGCCTCCCTTGCTGACGTGGTGATGACGTGTTAGATGATGTGGCGACACGTCATCATCTTCTTCCTCAAGATTTTTTTTTTTTAAGAACTTGCGGAGGCTTTTCGGGGCAGCTCCGGTGTCTGTTTTTCGCCCGTAAGATATCACCGTGACCGTTTCGACGAGACGAATCTAACAGTGTCCTCGAAATTGAATTTCGAGCACAGTGCAAAAACTCGAAATTTCTATAGAGCCTCGAAAAATTTCGAAAATAAGCTCGAAAGCTTCAAACCAAGCTCTGATACCACTTGTTGTGGTATCATCCCAAGATCGAAAGCATAATTTGAGAGAAAAACATGTTTCTATTACTCACAAGAATAAAAACACAAGAGATTTACAAACTCTAAACAAAAAACTCTCAAACACTCCACAACTCTTTCTTGGTTGTGTTTCAACACTCTCAAGGTTGATTGATCACTCTCTAGGATGATTTGAATGGATGAAAAAGGCAACCTATTTATAGATACAATTAAGCACACCATTTTAGAAAAATACGTGTGAACTTGAATGGTTGGTGAGGTAGAAATCTTCATCGGTGTGCTTATGGAAGTCTTCATGTGTGTGCTTATTGCATGTGCATGGAACCTTCATTCTGTTTGCTAGGCGAAGTACAACGACATCTCGTTTTCTCGTCCAGGCCAGAGCCGGCCCTGGGGCAGGGCCAGCTGGGCGACCGCCCAGGGCCCACCAGGGCCAACCAATTTTTAGGGGCACCAAAATCCTGCCACATCCCTAATTTCTTTTAAAATATTTTTTACTTTAATGAAAGTAGCCTTTTTTTTGTACGATAAAGGAAAAGCTAAAGCTAAAGCTAATGAAAGTAGCTTTTTGTGTCTCTCTTTTTACGCAAATACTTGGGTGTGCCAAGGCACACCTTGCTAGGTGTGCCAAGGCAAGGGGTGAATGCACGTACAAAAAAGGCGCGTGGACTTAAAGCAAACAATCTTGTCCAAA